TGTCCAAAGATAATAATAATACGTAATAGTAGTAGTATTTTAAAAGGAAACGATCACCCTCACACAACTTTAATGTTTAAATACACTTGTCAAGATGCTCTCTTGAATGATTGAATCAACTACCGTTCAAAATGGGGAATTGGGGATGGTAAATAAGTATTCAAAGGAAAGAAATGATAATCGGCCATTCAACCATATGATTGTGTTTGCTTTTAGCGTTTATATTTTCACTTTTAATTAGTTTTTAATGTGTGTGGTTGTATATATCTATCTCTAGGGTTGTCGCCGATGACAACGCCTGGTTACTTCCGTCCGGTGGTGCTCCAATAAGACGGGTACGGCGCCGAGGAATTTTTATTCTTTGGATTACACCTTTGGATTGTGCGGATTCTCCTGGAAGGACGAAGTCATGAGCGTGCTATCATGGAACTGTAGAGGGCTAGGCAATCCGGCAACCCTGCAGTGTTTAACGGATATTGTGCATCAAAACAAACCATCAATTGTATTTTTGATGGAAACGAAGTTGCGATGCCCGCGGGTGAATGACATCCTGCGATCGCTAGGTTTTGCGAATAGCGAGGGCACGGATGCGGATGGACAAGGTGGAGGCGTTGTTTTGGACTGGAATGGGGATTATGATGTTACTGTGGTTGAAACCAATGCAAATTACGTAGACTGTCAAGTTTGTAACCCTGAAGGAGGAACAACATGGAGACTCACAGGTTACTACGCCTTTCCGGAGACAGTACGAAGGCAGGCCGCATGGGATTTGATGCAGCGGTTGGCCGAAAACAACTCCTCTCCATGGCTGTTGATGGGGGATATGAATGACATTCTTTATAACTCGAAGAAGAAGGGCCGTATACCTCATCCGACGTGGCGGTTACGTGGGAAAGGAACACAAAATTGGGTTGAGGAGAAATTGGATCAGATCTTGGTAAATGATACATGGTGGGATAACTTCCGGGAGGCTAGAGCAACATCGGTTGAAGCTCCCATCAGCGATCACATGGCTTTACTCATAAAGATTCGGCCAACGTGTTATAGCAGGGCGGAAAAAAGATTTCGGTTTGAGAATAATTGGCTGAAAGGAAGAGGAATGTAGAACGATTGTGGCGAACAGTTGGAGAGCATGTGAGGAGATGAGAGTGGGGGATCGGCTGCTATTATGCGGGAAAGAACTAGCAAATTGGGATGGGAGTAGACTTAAAGGGTTCCGACATCAGATTCAAGCATGTAAAAAACGAATATCTTGGCTGAGGGGCAAAGAGGATTCGGCCAGCACTACCGAATTTATTCGAACACGCCTAGTCCTGAACACACTGCTGGAAAAAGAAAATCAACATTGGAGGCAGAGAGCGAAAGAATTTTGGCTGAGAGAAGGTGATATTAATTCACGCTTTTTTCATAATGCAGTGAAGGCGCGTAGAAGGAAAAATAAATTACACGGATTGAGGAAAGAGGATGGATTATGGGTGACGGACAGTGGAGCTTTAGGGGACATGGTCCAAAACTATTTTTCTGATTTATTTATAGAGCGGGTTCGAACAGTAGCCGAGGAGACGCTAGGACCGATAGGTATGGTGAGTCTGGAGCAGAATAGAAGACTTCTGAGACAAGTCACAGCGGAGGAAGTGCAGGAAGCTGCTTTTAATATGCACCCGGAAAAAGCACCAGGTATGGATGGGATGAATCCGGTTTTTTTTCAAAAGTTTTGGGGCATTGTGGGACCGGAGGTGGTGGGGCTGTGTAAAGAAATATTTAATTCTGGTAAAATTCCAAGAGAATTAAATATTACTAATATTGTATTAATCCCTAAGAAGGAGAGACCTGAAAATATGGGTGATTGGAGGCCGATAGCACTATGTAATGTGCTCTACAAATTTTTTCCTAAACTGATGGCAAACCGAATGAAGGATTTGTTGGGAGGTTTGATAGGAGAAAATCAAAGTGCCTTTATACCTGGGAGGTCCATAGTAGATAACATTGTGGTGGCCTTTGAGATGCAACATTGTTTAAAGAGAAAGCAAGGAGGTAAAGATGGGTTTGTAGCTCTGAAGCTGGATATGAGTAAAGCTTATGACAGAGTGAGTTGGAGCTTTTTGGAGAAAATTATGGGGCGGATGGGGTTTGACAGCAGATGGACTGGGTTGATAATGGAGTGTGTTAGCACGGTCAGCTACTTTGTTCAGTTCGAAAGAGGTTCGTTGGGGCCAATTGTTCCGGGCAGAGGTTTGAAACAAGGGGATCCTTCGTCTCCATACTTATTTATTTTAGTGGCTGAGGGGTTGAGCTCGCTACTGAGGAAGGCCGAAAGCAGAGGAGAATTGCACGGGATGGCGGTTTGTAGAGGTGCTCCGAAGATATCACATTTATTTATTGCAGATGATAGCTTTCTATTTTTTAAAACTAAACAAACAGAATGTGATACAGTTAAAAGGATTTTAAAGTACTATGAGGAATTATCAGGGCAATGGTTAATTTTGCAAAATCCATGGTTAATTTTAGCTCTAATACGGCTTAGCAGACCAAGGATATGTGTAGACAGAAGCTGGGAATTTTTGTTGAGGGTGAGCATGGGCGGTATTTGGGGTTGTCGACAATGGTAGGAAGAAATAAAGGAGCTATTTTGGGGTACCTGAAAGATCGAATTTATAATAGAATAAAAAGCTGGAATAACCGTTTTCTTTCAAGGGCGGGGCGAGTGGTCTTGCTGAAGAATGTAATTCAGGCAATGTCGTCATATGCTATGAATGTATTTTTATTGCCAAAGGACCTTTGTGATGAGATAGAAAAGCTTATAATGGGTTCTGGTGGAGAGGTACAAAGCTGGATCAGAAAGGAATGAGATGGAGAAGTTGAAAAAACCTTTGTAAACCAACAGAGATGGGCGGCCTGGGCTTCAGAAGATTAAGAGAATTTAATTTGGCTACGTTAGCCAAGCAAGGGTGGCGGCTAATTAATGGTAAAGGCAGTCTAATGGGGAAGATTCTAAAGGCAAGGTATTTTGCTAATGCTGATTTTCTTAATGCCAAGTTAGGAAATCACCCTTCCTTTGTGTGGAGAAGCATTTTTTAGACGCAAAGCATATTAAGATCGAACACGAGAAGGCGAGTGGGCAATAGTGTTGACGTTCAAGTGTGGGCAGATGTGTGGCTGCCTAGAACGGACGAGGGAAGAGTAACATCGGCGAAACCTATGGGAATCCGTGACATGAATGTTGCAGCATTACGTGATTTTACAGGAAAGAAGTGGGATGAAGACAGAATCAAAGCAATTTTTAATGAAGAGGATAGAAGGAAAATTTTGAGCATTCCCATTAGTGCAGTGGATCGTGCAGATGGGTATTGGTGGAAAGGGGAGATAAATGGAGTGTACTCTGTTAAAAGTTGCTATAATTTGCAGATGGGAGACCTGACAGGGATGGTGAAGGGTGTATGGAAACAACTCTGGAGATCAAAGGTACCTCCTAAATTTAAATATTTTGTTTGGCAGGTACTGAATCGGACGATTCCCACGGTTGATAAATTGCGCCAGAGAGGAGTAGTTGTACCGAACGGGTGCAAATTGTGTGACGACCCTGCTGAGTCGCTGGATCATGCGTTTCGGAGCTGCAGCAGGACGAGTGCAGTCTGGCAGGAGGCCGGTGTAGAGCTAGAGGAGATGTACCCGTGGAGGAGTGGCTGAGGAGGAATATAGAGTTGGGGGACGAGGAGAAGAGAAGTAAATTTATCTCTTTAATGTGGAGCCTTTGGAAGAGAAGAAACAATGCGGTATGGAAAGATCAAAAGCAGGACGCAACTAGCGTTATAAATGGAGCAGCAAGTATACTTGCTAGCTGGAAGGAGGTACAAGATTTTAATGGAGGCCATAAAAATAAGGGGGTCACGGCTAAGGAAAAGTGGAGGAAACCGGCGAAGGACACCATCAAAATTAATGTGGATGGTGCGGTCAACGAGGCGGTAGGGGTTAGAGCTTGGGGATGGGTGGCACGTGATGATGAAGGGAATTTTCTAAAAGCTAAGGGGGATCAGTGGAGGCAAGTTGGTCAGTGGCCGAACCTGAAGCTTTCGGCATAAAAGAAGCTTTAGTTGGAGCAATTCAGGAAGGATGGACTAGGGTGGAATTTGAGTCAGATGTTATGACAGTACTGAAGAACATAAAGTCTGGAGGAGGTTTTTCTTATTTACATATAATAGTTGATGATATTAGGGAAGTTTTGGAAACAAAGAGTGAGTTTTCTCTCTTATTGTAATAGATCTGTGAACAATGTGTCTCACGCAATTGCAAGAGCACATGTTAATCTCCCAGATCAGCATAGTAGCTATGAAGTAGTGCCAGAATGTATTGCTAGCCTCTTGGCTAATGACTGTTTGGATTAATGGTGTGTTGTAATAATTCCATATTGATGGTGCAATCTTTTATTTTCATAGTTTATCGTAATTTATTAGTTTTTGAAAAAACCTGAACAAGAATCAATCAAAGATCAATAAAGGAGCATGGAAGAGATCAAGATCAATGGAAGGCGTAAATGAGCCAGAATTCATGCGAAAATGTGATTTCATATCACACCAGGTCAGCTATGGCCTGGGAAGATTAGATTTGGTCATATACCCGATCGCGTATATTGACATACCTGGTCGGGTATGACTTGATTTGACCAAGCTACTGCCAAGGATATCCAATCAGGTATCTGACCCAAAACTCCTCTAAAAGCACCACTTTCCTTCTCATTTTACACATTCATTCTTCCATAACAAAAAGCTCAGTATATATTAGCATTTTCCATTATATTTGTAGTATGTTTAGTATCCAAATGATGAGCTAAACTCTTTTAATTACCTTGATTTTTTTTATCTTGAATCTTGTTGAATGTTAAAGTTGTGAGTTGTTTTCTTAAACTTCTTGTTGGGATATTAGGGTCCGGCCCAATAACCCGATATTTTTATGGTAGCACATTAAAAGGAGTTAAACACAGAGAAGACAGATGACAAGGAAATTATTCAAAAGCTAGTCACTAAGATATACGATAGTATTTGGGTAGTAGTAGAACCTGGTAATATACCGCCACCTACAAAATGGTACCATAAATTATTACATAAATAAGTATTGTCCTGACCTAACCGACTCCTCATCGTTCCACCGCCTTAACCGTGGAGAACACTCAATTCTTGAATAAGTCTGATGAAACCTGCAATGAAAACCTTAGGTGTTGGATATGGAATTCACTATATGTTAACCACTCAACTATATTAATTATATGCGATGCATGCCAAGAAATTGGAGCAAATTCTTCATCTATTCACGTTAATTTGTTAACAAAACAACTAGATTTGGATTAGATGTTTGACTGTTTGAGACCAGGATATAAGTAAAGCAAGGGCAACTGGTCAGGTCTGACTGTTGATGATTTCAATCAGAAATTGGGGGCTTCAGGTGTGAACAGTTTTCAATATTTTCTTGGAAATACTGAAACATCCCTGCTTAGGGAAAGGCGTGGCATAAACAAACAGTGAAAACACCATGGGTCTAGCCCCGAGCTTACTCAGCTTGTAGTGCCACAAAATAAATCTCTGTAGACCATCCCACATATGTTTCCTGTTGTGGTAGTCTAACCCGAACCATGCATCTTGAGGATTTTTTTAAGAGGTACCCCCAATTTCACTTTAGTATATAACTGTGAACTAAAAACCCAGCCTTTTTAAAATTGAATATGAAAGCATTCAATATATTTATAGGTTCAAAACCTTAGCAACTTAAACAGCAATGCAATACAATACCTTGACATGGTGAGGCATTATTTTTATATCATAAGGCACGTGAAGCCAGGCCTCAGGTAGATAGTACAGAAAGTTATCTGGTTTGCTGGTGTACACATCAGCGTATTGGTGGATATGATAAGCAAAGGCCGACTCTTGACCGGAATCAGTTAGAAATGTAGCTCCAAATGACCTATTAAACATTTCTTTCATTGTAGAGCGAGCCTTCTGCCTCTCATCATTGAGCTCCCAAAGAAGGGATTTATATGCTTCACTTGTCTGACAATTGACAACTGTAGCATGCAGCTTACCGAGAAGCTCTTGGATTATATGAAACTTTGCCTGTAGATGGAGAAAAATACAATTTCCTTGATAATTTCTACATATAAATTTTGAATTAGCTAAGCTTTCCTAATATAAAGGAGCATATAATCTCCATGACAATGAGGCAACTAATATCGGACAAAAAAAATATGCTTCGCTAAAAATCTACAAAACATTGTGTTCATTACATGTGTCGATGCATGTTTCCATTCTGAAGCAAATATAAAACAAATTGCAAGTAGGTTACCTGTTCGAACCTGTAACTATCATCATTCTGAATATTGATCTCATTCTGGAAAAAAGTGAAGATATAAGGAGTGGGTTACTTACCGTTAAATGCTAAAGAAGGAAAGAAAGAGTGTATATGCGCTGGTAAGAGTCTATATTGAACTAATCAAAGCCCAATTTAAAAAATTAAAAAAAAAAGTGACTACTTTCACGTATAGACAAAAATGTGACTAACAAGGTTATAAAATTAGAAAACTATGAATGTCACTAGTTAGCCGAGGTCACTTGGGGAGTGTTTGCAAGGGCTTAAAAATGCACTTTTGTGCTTTTTTGGGTGGAAAAAACTAAAATGAGTGTTTTTAAAAATCTAACTTGTGCTTATTTTAAAGCCCTTTTATGTGAAAAGCTAAAAGCAGGGAGATTGGTGATTTTAAATGGTTTTCACTTTTTTACTACACCAAAAAGCACTATTTCACCAAACACTCTAACTTTTACTTTTCAAAACCACTTCTCTCTTCAAACACTATCAACTTTTACTATTAATCACTTTTTTTTTACCCGCACGGGTAGCTCAGTTGGTCGAGTGGTGGGAGATTTGGAACAATGGACCAAGGTTCGAATCCCCGCAGCGACCGGGTGGAGGTAACAGAACCTGAAATAAGGTTGGGCCTCTTGTGCGCACGGGTGTATGGGCCTACTGCCATTCTGCTGACTGAGTCACCGTGACTAACCTCCCCACCATCATGTCGGGTCGGGGGGTGGGGGGCTCCTGGAGTGGGAGATTCCACCTTTTGGAACAATCTAAAAAATCACTTTTAAAAAAGTAGAAGCAATTCCAAACACTCCTTTAGGCCGCCCCAAACTTATTTCCGACAGCTTTTTCTAGCAAAGTTTTAAAAAAACTGAAAAAAAAAAAAAACTGGCTTAGTTTTTCCAGTGACTTTTCTGACGGTCACCAGCAGAGGTTTCCAGAGGCATTTTCTGGAAGTGATTATCGGTGGAGGCAGTGGGGTGGGGATAGGGGTGACTGGTTGGGTAAGGATTAAAAGGGGAGAAAATTTAAATTAATGAAACAAATGTTGGTAACATTTTCGGAAAGAAACAACCTAGTCATAGTTTTGTCTTCCAAAAGAGTAGCAGTAATATTTATGCTATTTTTTCATTTTTCCCAGTCATCATCTAAAATTCTCTTTTCTGGAGTTCTATGTCCTGAAGTTCATTGCAAGAACATGGAAAAGCACTTATTACAGCACTTCCTGTGTATCGTGACTCGTGAGACATCAAAAGCCATGAAGATAGTAATATTGTAGGATTTCAAATTCAAAAGGACAATAAAGAGAAAACCATACTTCCAGTTCATGGATGATAGCAGCAGTATGCCATCCAGCTTTTGAAGGCCCTCTCAGGTCACTGAATAGGTGATCCCCAAAATATATAACCTGAAATTATATGGATAAATTATTAATTGAATAAAGAAAAGCAAAGAAAAAATGATGATAATTATTAAACACAACCTTAGCAAAAAAAAGTCTACAGAGGTGTACAGAATAGAGTAAATATAGGGGATACCTCTGGACCTTTCCACTTTGTGATTTGCAAGAATGTTTTGAGACACCCGTGGTAATAAACTTTGTCAGGAAGAAACGAATCCACTTTTGAAAATGCTAATGTGTCTTCCTCAACATTATAACATCTGCATTGTAAAAAACACAAGAAAAACAAGGGCATACAGTATCCCATACAGCCAACAGAAATGCATAACAAAGCAATTGTATACCTATATTTAATTCTCACATCAATGAATTTAATCTTTGAATACAACAACAACATACAAGCCTTATTCCCAAAAGAATTTAATCTTTGAATAAAGTTTAAAAATCAGTTTAACTCTAAGAATAAACAAAAACATAACATTAGAGCTACACACCTAAATGGATGCTCAGATGTGTAAAAATCTGGTTTTTTTGCTTTAGCAATCACAACATCAAAAAGTTCCCTCCATGAGTCTTGCTGACCTAAAGAATCCTAATAAAATGTGAAGAACAAAAATCATTTCAGCAAATTTTTGGTTTAAGAGTTTAACTGAAAACAGAAAGGCATATAAAAACGGAAAGAATATGATAGGAAGAGCACATATGGTGTTTCAATATCAGTGTTTTCGCATGCTGATGAGATTCAAATGCTTGAATAGCATAACTGGTTACAGTTCCTGTGTTTTAGCTTCAGAAATCTAACTTTTGAATCACATAATTGCATTTCAGTAAAGCATATAAAACAGCAGAAGACACCACAAAAAAGAACTCTGGGTATGGTATTCACGAAAGATACAAAAACGATTTCATAAATCCATACTCTCAATCAATCACATGCTTTACTTACTAAGTGGTGCAAAACTGCAAGCACACTCGTATAAACTCTAAATCAGAAAATATGAGATCAAGAGAGTCTTACTTTGAGCATATAACGCATTCCTCCATCCACAAAAAAGTAAGGAGAGTTTGTTAATAAGAAAAGCTTCTTCCCTTTCTCTTTTAGTTTCCTTAAAAAGCAAAGTAGCTGCCCCTGGAACACATGATCACAATATATTGGGAAAAGAAAGTCAAGAGATCCACAATACAATTGGCTGCAAGAAGCAAAAGTCAAAGAAGGTACTACTACTTCACTTACATTCTTCACAAGATACTTCTGGGGATCGGAAAGAATTCCTTTATGTACCAAGTGACTTTTGTGAACATGCTGTATAGCTCGGTTAACATCTTCATAGATATAAGCAGCATCAAATTCCAGTTTAGCATCGACAAAATGTTGAACAATATCAGCAATAAGGCATGCCTGCAGAAAAAAGAAAAGGATTCAAATGAGGAAACGTCAGAATAAGAAACTTCCTAAAAACGCATTACAGTTTTTCGGGAGCAACCTTATGCAATGCAAACAGACACTTGAACCAATACAAAATGCCTTAAACATGTAGAAAAAGAAATAATCAAAAATCTAGATGATACTGTTCCACTAATAACTAAGGAGCTACACTTGTGTGTGTGCGTTGTGTTGAAAAGGATTCTTATAAGAGCACACCTTATCATAAACTCATAAGCATATCTGAATAATGAGACATTTAGTTCTCCACCTTTCATTTCTATAACTAATGGCATTGAGGTATTCTCAATGTGGCATTTTTGTAATCATCCTATAATATATGTGTGTAGAGGAGTCTCAACTATATCCTTGTTGTATGGGTGTTTTCATTGGCCAGGTTTAACTCACACCCGGCACCAGCTTGTCAATTTGAGGTTTAAATTCATACTTCCATGAACATGCTGATTTTTTTGTATTTTATGTGTGTGGGAAGCAAGGAGCACAGAGTACTTATTTATTTTTGCACAATTACAGATGAATAAGATGCTTATACCGCATCCTGGAGAGCATAAACCAATCAATATTAAAAAAGCGTTCATACAAAACATGCCAAGTGTAAGTAATGGTTTACAATTAATAAGACACAAACCTCACTAAAACAGAAGAAATCCATCAAGTATACAAGTTCCTTTGCATGATCGCGACCAATATGACGGTTGCCATATATCTCATCAATTTCTTCATGGCTAAGCTGTAATTTAATATCAATAGAAAACTATAAAGGGATATAATAAAGACTTTACCATGTATTAAGCTGAATAGGTGATTTATGTAAACCACACAGAAGACAAAGTTTCTAGATGCACAGGTATCAACCACTGAAGTGGATGGATATATACGGCTGATTTCATTTCAATAATCTCATCATCCTGGAAAACGATTCTTCAAAAGCCTTAAAACGGTACCTTACGCCTACCAAAGTAGCAACTGCCAGGCTCAATAGATCCAAAGAAATCCAGCTTCATGAGGCACCCTTTTACTTTGTCATAGTATAACCCTCTAATGGGAAATGAAGGATCATATTTGAACTCAGTGCAACTTTCAGGATACTTAAACTGATTAAACCATAATTCACAGGAAAACAACCCACCATTCAGCATATATCTTAGAAAATAATTACATAACACAAAACAAAACAAAATTGGGGATAATTGGTAAAGAAAACGAAGCCCATGTTATAACTGACCTCATTAACGAGATGTTGCTTTGCAAGGTCATATATCAAGGTCTGCAAATTAGAAGAGTAATGTGCCAATGTATAATCATAATCAAATCCGTACACTTCGATATTATCTAGTCGGAGGTTCTTATTGACGTATATTCCTATAATAATTGCATAAAACAAAAAGCTTATTAGTGTACTCCTCAATCAAAACAGAAAACATGGAATAGAAATGAAAAAAAGAAAAAAAAAAACCTTTGGGATTCATTTTAGGCATATCTTTTAAAGCATCTGGTATATTCAGGAATCTCTGTTTAGCAGCATTGAACTGTTCCCGAACCTCAGCAATCTCACACTCGAACGTCGGGTCACTTTCATGTGCCAACTTATTTTCTTGGTCTTCCAATTTCAACAGCCTCTCCTTTGAAGATGGAATAGTGCTGTAATTCCACGCATTGCTACCTAAAAAACAAGACAAGGCCCATATTCCATGCTTTGCATTACCACCACATGCATCAGAACTAATAGACACTCTGAGAAAGCATATAAGACAAAATGAGCAATGTTCTGCTTATCAATAGACATACCTTCTTGAAATCCAGCACGATGAGTGCTTGTTTTCTGCAACAAAAAATATTAGCCTTAAGTGGTCACAGCACATAGATAAAAACCTTGTGCAATCTTTACTCAAATCCGTGTGAGCACGTGCATACACACAAAAGAAAAACATTCTACACGAATAATATGAATTGAAATATATGATATCTTCATATCCGACAGTTCTGAACACGTGTATATGCATAAGCAAACAAATTAGGCAGACATGAGTGAGAGATAATGAGATACAGTACAAAAATGGAGGAGCGGAGATGGAGTAGCCTGCGGATAGAGGCCATGGTGGTTGGCAGCGCAACGAGAGGTGAATCTGTGACTGATTGGGCTGTCCGAATTTTCAAGAATCATAAAATGTTGATGTGAGGACGAAGTGCGTGAGCAGGCTGAGCCCCCGCAGGCTGCAGCCGCAACTGTAGGCGGGAAAATAGGAGAAGTGGCTTCTCCAGGAGCCTATGGGTTAAATTACTCCTATCATTTTAACTATTTTTCATATAATTTTTTATTTTATTTATTAATAAAAAATATTTTAAATATAATTTTTTCATCAGCAGAATCAGCTAATATAATCACTTTAGCCAGAACTTTATAAATTTCAACAGAATCAGTCAATTTAATTCTTACCAAACGGGTTCTAAGATTGTGGCCAATGCGTGTTCGGATGAAATGAACAATTTTTTTAACTTTAAAAAGAGGGGATACATTGTAGGCATGACAATGGGTCGGGGCGGGGCGAGTATTGCAAGACCCTGACCCGCCCCGGAACTTGACGAGGTAGGTCCGTCCTGCCTCATGACCTGCACGGGTCCAAACTTGTTGACCCATGACCCGCTCTGTCTCGCCGTAATCTAATTAGCTAGTATGTATTTTTATTTGTGATATGCTAGAAATTTCAAAAGTTAAGAAGAAATCACTTAAACTTGAATAGTTAATCTATTTAATTATATTAATACTTGAATATATGTATTAAAATGTTATATATAAAGAAGACATTGACAATTCATCGTTCATCTCAATCTAATATATATATATATATACACATACATATATATATATATATACATACATACATACATATATATATATATATATATATATATATATATATATATATATATTCCGGACCAAATAAAGTCTTTCTTCCCGTGAAAACTAAAAACCGGTCACTTTTCCCCCATTATGATGCACTATTAGGTTTCTATATTTCACTTTTTCACAATGACATACAACTTTGACTCATTTAAAAAAGTGCCACCGTTTTTTTCTATTTGACATTATTTGACCAAAGTTCAAAAAGTGCAAGAGACGAACTTTAAAGTGAATCAAATTGAGCCAAAAGTGATGGTTTGCAGTTTGCACGATTAGGATGGTTTTTATTGGAACCGCACCCTATATATATATAATAGAGATCAAATACAAACTAGGCTTAATTTACTAACCTACAAACTAATCATGGTCCTCCATCTTAATTAGATTACCACACGGTTGATCTTCTAATTGATGGGCTAAGTAGTCTTTTTGGTTTATTTTTATTTATGGAAAAAATCGTGTTCCTAATTTCTCTAACTACTTTCCATTCACGTTCATTCAACAACATCCATCGCTACATAGGTATGTCGTCTCCAGGCAAACAAAGAAACTGGGAGAAAACGGCGAAAACAGTAACCCTCGGCACCAGGAGCCCTCGGCACCAGGGTGCCCTCGGCTTGAGGAGCCTTCGGCTAATGCTCTATAGCCGAAGGCACCTCACTCGACAAGATCTCCTCTCCACGCGCATCTGGATCGCCGTACCAAGTACGACGTCGCATCCAACAGCCGCATTAAATGCGGCCACATGCGGCTGCCAGCGCCAACCAGTTGAAGTGACCTCTCGGCCAATGGGTGCCTTCCCCCTCTGCCACACCCCTTCGGAAATCCCATCCCTCGGATTGGGTGTAATACCCGAGATTAATTTAAGAGGATTAATAGTACTACTCATACCAACAAGGTGCATCTTGTTTTAAGGGAGCTTATTAGCCAAGAACTCTAAAGTTAAGCGTGCTTGCACAGGAGTAGTCTTGGGATGGGTGACCCCTTGGGAAGTTTCTCAGGGCGCGCACGAGTGAGGACAAAGTGCGCGGAAAAGGCTAGTGGCGGTTTGTGAGGACAGTACTAGAGGTCAGAAGTAACTACCTCGGGGCCTACGGGGCCGGAGTGTTACAAATGGTATCAGAGCAACCCTGCGACAGTGTGTTGACCCGTTAGATATCGGGCAGGCACTTAGCGGGGCAAGATTATGGGGTTTGATTGAGAGTGTTAAGGGCGCAACGAGGACGTTGCGATCCTAAGTGGGGTGATTGTAATACCCGAGATTAATTTAAGAGGATTAATAGTACTACTCATACCAACAAGGTGCATCTCCTTTTAAGGGAGCTCATTAGCCAAGAACTCTAAAGTTAAGCGTGCTTGCACGGGAGTAGTCTTGGGATGGGTGATCCCCTGAGAAGTTTCTCAGGGCGCGCACGAGTGAGGACAAAGTGCGCGGAAAAGGCTAATGGCGGTTTGTGAAGACAGTACTAGAGGTCAGAAGTAACTACCTCGGGGCCTACGGGGCCGGGGTGTTACATTGGGAATGACGAAGGGGTAGTGGCCCAAGATACGGCCTCCCAGGAAGTTCAGTCCCGGGACCGCCACAATGACAACAGAGAAAGGCCCCACACTTCCGCCCTCAACCGGCTCGGAGGGGGGCAAGATCGCCGAGGGGTCCAAGACCGCCTCGGAGGAAGGGCACTCCAAAGGCCCCAGGAAAGCGGAGGGTCTGTCTCGAGGGCAGACGAGGAGCGTCCTCCTCGGGACAAAGGCAAGGCGCCCCTTCATGCCGACGATGCTCGCCACCAAATCAACCAGGCTCACTCGGCCCGGGTTCGTTCGCAGGGGGCGGAGACCCTCCCGAAGGACCCCCGGGACGAAATTATTGCGGCCCTCCAACGCCGACTTGATGAAATGGAGGCCAACAAAGCTCACGCCACCGCCTCCACCCCTCATTAAGACCTCAAATACGAGGCCATGATGGCCAAAAAGGAGGAATTGCAGAAGAAGGTAGCCGAGGGCTCCGGGGAACCCGTCATCCAGCTCCGGACCCGGACGCCATTTACCCCAAGGGTATTGGCGGCCCAGATCCCGGAAAAATACCGAGGGCAACACATACAGCCCTACAGCGGGAAGACGGACCCCCAGGAACACTACAACAAAATATCAGAACAACATGATGATGGTAGGGGCGTCGGACGAATATTTGTGTCGTTGGTTCCTCTCCACCTTAGAGGGGCCGCCGTACGAATGATTCAACCGGTTGCCCAAAGGCTGCATTGATTCATGGCAAGAACTCGCCCAGCGATTCTTGACGCAATTTGCCGAGAGGCGTCGCACGAGGAAGCACTTCTCCCACCTCCTAACCATACGCCAGAAGAGGGATGAGACCCTTCGGGACTTCCTGGAGCGCTGGAGAACGGAAGCCGACAAAGTCGACGGTGCTGACGACGGGACCCTCCTGGCCCTCCTACAAACCGTCCTCCGCACCGGCAATTTTTCAAGGAGCCTCATCATTGAACCCCCCCCCCCCCGCGACTACATAAGGGCCCTGCAGCGGGGGGGACCGATATGCTGAGGCCGAGGAGGTGGAGAAATACCACCAGCATCCAGATCAGCAACCCCCGAAGGCTGACAACAAGAACAACCGGGGGCCGGGGGCTCCTCCAAATCACCCCAAGGCTTCAGGACCCTCTGATGACCGCCCTCGGCAAGGCCAAGCCAAGCCCGGAGGAGGTTATAAGAACAACCCCAAGACTTGGGCACAACCCATTCTCCTGGACCGCCCCCGGACACCATTGACGCACCCCGTCAGCATCATCCTTGATTTTGCCGAGGAGAGGGGCCTCGTTGAGCGCGATTCTCGCGCACCCCCGGAGGTACATGCTATCAACCCTCAGTTCCCCTACTGTCGTTTCCATCGGCATCAGGGGCACAGAACCGATGACTGCCATCAGCTAAAGACGGCCATCGAGAGATTGATACAAGCGGAGCACCTGTCCCAATTTATCCAGAGCCCTCGGCGGGAGGGACCTTCTCATCAGGGACCTCCCCGAGGGCACCACACGAAGGTGAACGCTTGGGTGAACCCGAACACCATCCCCCTCGGCAAGAAGAGGGAGATCGGAAACTTGGAGGAGGAAGAGGAGGAGTACCCCCACTGCCAGGAGAAAAAACGTCACATCCTCATGATCATCGGTGGCAATACAGGGGGCGATTCCACCAGCCAGCGGAAAAAGTGGGCTCAATCGCTTTACGTGGGGGAAGTCACTCATATGCCCCCGGTAAAGCGGCTGAGGGAGGAACCCATCACCTTCACCAACGCAGATCTCCCTCCTACTTCTTCTCCTCACAGGGATGCCTTGGTGATTCGGACTGAAATAAACGACACCATCATTCACCGAACTTACGTTGACACAGGCAGCTCCGTCAATGTAATGTACCTCAGCACCGTTAGAGAGCTTCACCTAGAGAGGGGGTCCCTTCGGCCCATTAAGACCCCTCTTGCCGGCTTCACCGACGATACTATTGATTCCGAGGGGGTAATAACCCTCCCGGTAATCTTCGGCGACGGGCTCCATAGAGCCCAGCTCGAAGTGGAGTTCGTCGTCGTCAACATCGACTGCGCCCACAACATCATCCTCGGCCGGCCAGCCCTCGAGGACCTCGAGGCCGTCATCTCCATGAGGCACCTCTGCCTCAAGTTCCCCGCCGAGGGGGACATTGGCTACTCCCGGGGGAATCAGAAAATTGCCCGCGCTTGCTATCTTCAAGTCACGAAGAAAGTAAGTAAGACGGAGTTCCGTGTTGACACCATCACCGGAACCATCGATGAAGAAGAAAAGAGGTCGAGGGCTAAACTCTTCCATCTTGGTTTTGCTACTTTGAAGCTTAATGAATTTGTAAGTTGTGAGTTATTTTCTCTAATCTTCTTCCTTGAATATTAATTCTTTCTTTCAAAATACTATCTCTATATCAAAGTTGGGGAGTGTTACTAAGATGACAATTAGTTAACATCTTGACATTGGTTATAGTAATAGCTATTTCTTCCTCTATGATAATATTGGGGAGTGTTACTAAGATGACAATTAGTTAACATCTTGATATTAATCATAGTAGGATTCATATATTTTAATATTCTTCCTTGAGTATTAATTAATTCCTATTCATATTTCATGTTAATATCTTAAACATTACTTAAAGTATCAACTAGTATTGTTTCTCATATTAATTATTACTAGAATCAATCGGTTAATACGCTTGTTATTAATCCGGTTCTTTCAACGGTAGTAAACTTGGAATATTAATGCATGCATCTCATGGTTAATAGGCCAAGGGGAATTAATTATATTGATTAAACCAATAATCCGCTTGTGTTGAGGTTATCAATCTCAATCGTTTTCATCTTAAGTTTATTGCTACTATCAAGTTAATATACGGCGCTTGTTCTATATTGACTCGATAGTAAGTTTTATTAATGAACGCATCTCGTTATTAATAACTACCCTCGATGAACTGGATATACTCCTCGATTGAGTATTCGAGAGGAAGATAGTTAAAGATATAACCGGGATCGACGAACATTTCATTAAGTGGATAAAAGCAAAACCAAGTCCCCATCTCATTGAATTAAACTCATATAGGTCGTTTATCTGAGTGTTATTAAACAAAACAAATCTAAACCCCCCTGTTGTTACTATTTATTTAAAAGAAAAGTATTCCTTTCCCTGTGGATACGAACCTTACTACACTATAATATGTATTAGTGTTGTATTGATTAAATATTTTGAGTGCACCTAACGACGAGTGCACGTCAGCCGGGTAGCCCCCGGGGAGTATGCCTCATTGACGGATAGCCTACGGCACACAAATAATGGGAGCCCTCGGATATCCTCGTCACCAACTAATCACCAAGCAAGGGACACCCCGGTAACAGTTCAACTACTGCCCTCATCCATCACGCCCTCGATTCCCAGATCGAGTGGCTCCCCTTCGGCACCTCCCAGGACATCAACAGCAAGCCTCTGGCTACTCAACACATGAGCCCTCAGAACAAGGAGAGCCTTTGGCATTACCATTATTCTCCATTTTTGACCAAGGTTTTACATTTTCGATTCATCGTTGGGGGAATTCGGTGCACTCTTTTTCCCTCGTTAGGATTTTCCCCCCCAGGGTTTTTCCTAATGAGGTTTTTAACGAGGCATCCCCCCCAAAATGAAACGAAAAGCGTTAGCCTTCGGCCCCATGCTACAACGGACTAAACTCTACTCCTTTTCACCACTTTACAAGTGCCTCAAGCAGTGAGGGACTGGAGAACCCCTTCGGGAAAATCATTAAATTACAAAATGGCGAAAAATCCATCATTTCAAAGCAATCCCTCAAGTCCCGACATGTGGGTAACTGAGGGACTGCTTTCGGTAGGGACATGCAAGCAACAACTCCTCACCAACTTCATAGATTACAACAGGACAACATCAAAGGGCAAGCACAAATTACTCCTTTTCCCTCAAGTACCTTTCGACAAAAGGAGTGAGGGACTCCTGATGGAGTATATGGCCCGGGAACCCCCGGCCCACAGACTCCTACTACACCAATAAAGGCCCAACCGGCCCAGGAAGCACAACAGGCCCAAATTACGGCGCCCCAAACACTTAGCAACCCACAACGCACATTGGGGAGCCTTCGGCCCCCGACCGAAGGCTCAAAACTCTCACAGAACGGCGACTTCAGGCAAACAAAGAAACTGAGAGAAAATGGCGAAAACAGTAGCCCTCGGCACCAAGAGCCCTCAGCACCAGGGTGCCCTCGGCTTGAGGAGCCTTCGGCTACTGCTCTATAGCCGAAGGCACCTCACTCGACAAGATCTCCTCTCCACGCGCATCTGGATCGCCGTACCAAGTACGACGTCGCATCTAACAGTCGCATTAAATGCGGCCACATGCGGCTGCCAGCGCCAACCAGTTGAAGTGACCTCTCGGCCAATGGGTGCTTGACACGTGTCCCTGTCCGGCATTTATTGCTACTATAAATAGCACCCCATTTCCCCATTTGTAACCACACTTTAACGCCTCAACTCAATATACTTTCTCTCTCTTACTTGCTCTGACTTCTCTCTAAGTTACTCCCCGCAGTAACCCCCCGGATAGATACCCCCGGGTACACTTATCCATCAATTTATAATTTGGATTCACTTCACATGATCTAAAAACTTTGTAGCTAAAGTGTCTGGTATTTAATAAGTATCCTAAATCTCAAATAATGAGTTCCTCTATTGTTTATTTAAGTTATGTAAATTATTTTAGACATTCCTTTTTAAAATCTCCAATTAAGTATTACATTATGTAAGACTATATATTAATTTTAAAAACAAAAAGTTAAGGGGGTTAATGTTAACAAAAAGTTATGGGGAGCGAATCTAATTAAAGTATCAAAATTTTATGAAATTATTACATATATAGTAGAAAATTTTGAAAGTCCAAGGGGTGCGGTCGCACCCCACCCTAAATCCATCCCTGCATGTGTGGAAGGAGCAAAGAGACCAAGCTAATCGGAATGAGTTTCAGGTCCGCTTAGATATAAACATTGATAATTTTGAAAATTCTATAAATTATGATTCTGGTGGAATACAATGGGACAAAAAAAATTAGTAATGTTGATTGATATATTTGCATATATTATTACCACATAGCCCCATAGGTAATGAATGAAATTAAAATGATGACAATAAGCCTAAATCTATTCATGAATGTCGTCGTAGAAATGATCGATTGAAATATAATGAAGCAATTCAATTAGAATTAAAATTACTTGAAAATGTGATGTTTCCGGACCAAGAGTCCGGACGCCCAAAAGCGTAAAAATGTAGGTTTAAATGAGTTGTTGTGGGTAAACGCAACGAGGAGAATGAAATCGTTACATATACAGTCAAACTTGTTGACCATGATTTTTATAAAATGCCAATAATCGATTATGATGAGACTTATTCTCCGGTAGTTGATGCTACTACTTTAAGATTCTTAATTGACATGTCTGTTTTTGAAAGGTTACAAATGCATCTAATTGGCAAGTGTTTAAGGCAACAAACAAGTAAGAACAAACAAGTAATTAGATGCAAAGTGAAACCAATTCTATTTGAGGTTTATAGAACGATTACAACACTTATGCCGAGCGGCGCTCCGACCCCCTAGCTCAAGCTGAATGCTATAGAGAAAACTATAGAGAAGTCTAATACTTAAGAATACAAAGTTGTCAACCCTTTACGATAAAGTAATTGTTTCTATTTGTACTAGAAGTTAGCAGGTGAAGGGGATTATGTGTCCGACCGTGAGTGAATGACCCCCCTCAACCATAAAATCTTTCATATCTGGTGCATTAAATGCGCCTCCCGTCACTTCTGAGGGTTCCCGCCAACTGCTTGGGGGAGTTATGTATTGGATGGCTGTTGGATCTAGAGGAGGAGGTCCAAGTGCATATAATGGACCGAACGACAATACTCATGCGGGTCACCCCGAACGACGGTCATAAATTGGGCATTTTGCCAAAGGGACCGTATGTCGATTGGGCCTCCTGGGGTATTTGGATCTGTTTTTGGCCCGGTGTCTAATATCCCAATATGAATAAAACACACTCACTCAATTCTTTAATAGTGATTTGATATCTCAATGTGCATGGTGATTCTTTCCGACCTCGTGAAGATGATGCAGAAATCATTAGTCCCGAAATACCATACTTGATAAGATATTGTTTTTACGTAAATTTGTTAGCTAAGTATAGCTCTTCCCCATAAGAAGACACTGGAATGGAGTCAAATATATATTTTGCTATCCTAATGGTGTAATCGATCTTGGATTGTGTTACAAGAATAGTGCAAATGTCACATTAACTAGCTATGATGATCCAATATTCTTGTCTGTTCCACAAAAGGCAAAACAATACACAAAATGTTTATTCACTTATGACGATACTGCTATCTCATGTAGATCAATGAAGTAAATAATAACCGCCACATCATCAAATTATGCACAATTGATATATAGCTCTCTATGAAGCAAGCCGGACAGTGTATCCTGTTGTTGAGATCGATCAATGATCAACACAAACAAAATGAATGCAGTATAAAATCATTTATTTATGATCCTAATGTGGCTTATGAAGACAACACGACATATATATAGCTTAGATAAGAGGATTTTACATAAAAAGGAATAGGACAAAGCATACAACATCAAAACTTTTCTCCACACATGATCTTGACAAAGAAGAAACATTTGATATCAAACAAATCAAGTCTTGCGACAACTCTGCCGATTCATTCACAAAATCATTACCCTAAATAAAATCTGAAGAACTTGTTCATAAAATTGGAATGATTCGTCTTCGAAATATATGTTAAATTGAGGGGGGGGGGGGGGGGGGGGGGGGGGTTATATGGACTGCCCCTTTTTCCGCCCTTTCATGTTTTTATCCCACTTGGATTTTCTTGACAAGGTTTGTAACGAACTAGTACAATATTTTGGAAATCATATAAGTTTTTTAATGAAACAATCAGTACAACCGAATAATTAGAAAATGCTCATTCAAGGGGTGTGTTAAAATATAATGAATTAGTCATATTTTAACTATTCATGATTATTAAGTCATTATCATCATTATCAAAATAATTAAAAATCGCAATTGTGATTTGAGATTTCTAAAGATAACAATTATGTCTGTAAAAAAGGCAATGATTTGTGGTTAATATTAATCATTTCATTTTAAGATAATTATTTGCTTAACCTATAAATATACGTTTTTACCTTCACTATAAACACATTTATTCATAATATACTTTCTCTCTAATCTTTTGCTTATTTACTTCCATTTCATAAGAGTTCTTCGTACCAATAACTAAAACAAACAAGGAACTTAAATGAAGACTAGTTTGGTGAAATCCCGTGAAATATACAAATCTCTAATAACATGAGGAATTAACAAACAAGCTGGAATAGCTCAGTTGGTTAGAGCGTGTGGCTGTTAACCACAAGGTCGGAGGTTCAACCCCTCCTTCTAGCGCTTTTAATCCTTTTTACCTTGATCCTTTTTACCTTGATCCTTTTTACCTTGATACCTTTTTACCTTGATACCTTTTTACCTTTTGAACCAGGCTGAAAACCGAGCTAATTGTATACCTGCCCTCTTTCGCTGCTAATTGTATACTCAGACTCTCAGAGCCAAACCCTTCCCATTTTCTTCTTCGCCGTCGCCATTGCCTAGAGTCTCAAGGATGTCTACAGAAGCCACCGCCACATCGTCCTCACCTTCTCCCCGCCCTTCATCCGCCATCGATTTTCTCACGCTTTGCCACCGCCTCAAGGTATGCACTTGCGTACATTGCTGCGATTTTCATGCTTTCCGAATGTGAAACTTCAAATATGTTCATGCTTCGATTCACTATCGAGTTGTTGGAATGAATTCATAGGCTTGAATGCGTGAATTTTGAAACCCAAAATTATTTTTATGTGGTTAGATTTTATTCATAAATTTCAATATATTTTTTTGTTGCTGAATTTTGATTTTGTGTGGTGCATGGCTATGTTTATGTGTTTGTGTGGTTTGCTTTGGAAATGAATGCATCTGTTTAAGTTTTTGGTTGATCAACTTTGTTACTTGACATAAACTCGAATGAGCTGAATTGAGTGGTTTGGAGTTCTTAATAGACCACAAAGAGGACGGGTTGGGTATATAGAGGTGTGAAAGATCCAGAATCCATATCTGATCACATGTACCGTATGGGAGTGATGGCTCTTATATCCGCAGACCTTCCTGGTGTGGATCGTGACAAGTGAGTCATATTCTGTCATCATTTTGCTCTTCTAGATTGTTTGTTTAGATCCATTCTTGTGATTTCTCAAGTTTGTCTATATTTTCCAAGTCGACCATTTTAATGTAAGCTTCGCATTCAGGTGCATAAAAATGGCTATAGTGCACGATATTGCTGAAGGTGAGAACTTTTACTGTCACTTGTAGCCCACTAAGATACAAAGATGGATATATGTAAGTAGATGCACTAAGAATATCTATTTTTCTCCTATTCCATCAAGTCACTGTTATACATACTAGTGCAGATATTTAACACAAAGTGTTATGTTTATAAAATATAGTTCTCTCATGTATTTTTTGCTAAAAGAAACACACTAATACTTGAAGCAAATAAGCAATCAGTCAATGCTCATTCACCTTCACATATTCTATCATCATTATCATTACCCCAATGCCGCAAAGGCTCCCACCTACGGTGGGGTAAGGCCTAAGGGGGATCGGATGTACGCAGTCTTACCCCTGTACTAAAGCACAAAGAGACTCTTTCAGGATGACCCACAGTGAAAACCGCGTTGAAAATTGCATGAATTGACGGCTGCTTCATAACAAAGAACTCAAACAGTTTAGTGAGCCATTTTGCTTTATTCCATCATATTCCCAAGCCAAAAAATAGTGAGTTTTTGGCTCCATTGCAAATGATGGAAATACCTTCACATATTCTATACAATAATAATTAGATCCTTATGGACCAATCTCCCAGCTAACACTAAAAGATAAAGTAGTTGTAGATCTACAAACTTTTTGTGTAACAATACTTTTCTGTAGTGCCTAGTGGTATGGTTTTCACTTTTTGCTTTACTTTATCATATATACGACATGGGTATTTCAAACAGCAATTGTTGGAGATATAACCCCTTGTGACGGGGTTTCAAAAACCGAAAAGAGTCGCCGGGAGAGAGAAGCCATAGAGGACATGTGCAAACTACTAGGAGGAGGCCCTCGAGGTGCAATTTTCATCTGATTGTCTTTTTATGAATAAAGCGGTTAACCACCTACATGACATTTAGGGGGTAAGAGTAAGACACTCTTTTACTCACTTGAAACTTACCTATCACAGACACAAAAGTAAAATGGCAGTTTCACCACCAAAATGTCAGCTATGGGAACTTAACATTGTCATCTTTTTAATGTTGACTTGGTATCCACCAAAGACAGACATGCATTTGTTTCCCAACTGATAAAATTTAAGTTTTATTGCAGCCAAGGAGATAAGGGATTTGTGGTTGGAATATGAAGAGTGTTCTTCATTAGAAGCTAAAGTTGTTAAAGATTTTGACAAGGTACTTTGAACATCGGTATTAACAAGCAAATGAGTTTATGAATTGTTTCTTTCATGATAGTATGATGCCCTTTAGGCCTTTACTAACGAGAATTTTATGACTACATTTGGAGAAGATGCACATATTGTCACAGTTAATGAGTAAGCAACACACACATTCATAATATGGAATTGCACATATCCATGAATGAAGTGCTAGGAGGATTGGTATTGATTAACATGATATAATGAGGGGTCAATATTTTGATAAAATGACAAAATCTAGGGACCCTAATAGTATTTGTGGAGCAATCACTAAATTCTTTTACATTGTTATCTAACCGATCGGTGCATATAGGTGATGGAATGAGCCATTATGAATGAGTCGTGTTATTATAATTAGGCCATAATAATAAGGTGACCCTAACTCTAATTCATTTTTGTAAAATCAAGTGGAACAAATTTGATATGTTTTTCCAAAATTGACCCTATTAAATGAAGTCGTGGTGAAGGATGGAATGTCAATGTGGACAACGGTGCAGTATTGAAATACATATTAACAAAACTAATACTAATTTAATTACGTAGTATTGTTTTATTTATGTAAAAACTGAAATTGTACCCTATAATTCCTATAAATAGGACTGGAGGACTGGGGAGGGGGGGGGGGGGGGCACCCACAAACACTCACGACATTTGCTTTTGCTACAGGTTGAGATGATACTCCAGGCTTTGGAATACGAAATAGGTATACTCTGTTCCTTCTATGTTTCATGTAATGGAATGTACAAATAATCTAGTCATTCCACGAAATCTCTTTATTTATATGAAATACTATTCTGCGGCCTGATGGAATTAATTGAAGAGATGATAGCTTGGAACAGTGGGCTAATATCACTATTATTATGGGTTTTGCAGAGCAGGGAAAGGATTTAGACGAGTTTTTCCAGTCTACAGCAGGTTCCACATCTAACCTATCTAAGCTGCTCTGCTGCAGTTACTACAATTATGATGTTTATACTTTCCACTTTAACTTTATTCACCCAGGGAGACCCCCCCCCACTGTGTATTTATCTGACAGACAAATAAGTAACTTGTTAAAGGAAGAGTGAAATTGAATTAATATTTTTTCTTCTTCTCATGGTCCTCTTAGTTTTGATATTTTGATGGGATATGAAATTTGATTAATGACAAAGATGAAATATGTTGAGTCTCTGGGAGGCAAGTTTAGATTTCAGCAAAAGTGAGTTTTCCCGGGAAATCACTGAGTGAGACCTGTGATGATGGTTACTAGTTTTCATTTTAAGGCTACTCAGTTTGTGCAGAAAGCCTTCTCAATATGCAGAGTGATGGTTACTAGTTTTCATTTTCCATTATTGTTGTGAGAGAGGTTTACCTATATTTCAGGATTCAGATATACTTTTTGGTATTCACTGATATTTCTCGAAGTGTTTCCATATATCTTTCATAGAATTTTGGAAATATATCATCATTGTTGGTCAGAGGAAAGGTTCAAGTAGAGGCCTGCGTTTCTTTTTTTGCAGGGAAGTTTCAAACTGAAGTGGGTAAAGCTTGGGCGGAAGAGATTCTATCAAGACGCACAAAGATAAACTTGTGAAAATTTCATTTCATTTCTAGATTCAGGAAAAGTGTAACTAGGATTTTGGAATCTTTCAATTATATAACTCATTTTTAATTGCCCTTTGATGTCATTAAATTAAACTTATTTACAAATTCTTCTTTAGACAAAAGTTTGTGAAACATGTTTTTATATGGATGGAGTATTATAGGCCACTGATCTCATGTAGCATTTGGAAATTGAAGAAAGGTGCGAGGGAAATTAGGAAATATACAAATTGAATGAGGCATTTGGACATAAAAGTGTCAAGAAAAAAAGTGGAACTTCAATGGTTCAATTTTAAATTTTGTTCTAATTCTTTTGATTTATAATTTTCTTTTCTATACACAAAAAAATCTTGTATGTAGAATTAGGGGTGGACTCTGGTCCGGGTCGGGCCTAGGCCCGGGCGGGCCGGCGGTTCAGGAATGGTGGACCCGGGACCGGCCCGGGTAGCCACCGGGCCTGGCCGGGCCTCCGGATTGTTTTTTTTTTGCTTTCCTAACACCCCCACCCCCACCTTCCCAAACCCTCCCAAACCCATCCTAAATTCCTAACCATCAGCCCAATCCGGGTGGAACCTCAAAAATGAAAAAAATTTCAATTTTGGCCCGGGTCCAGGCTCGACCTGGCCGGGCCGGTTCGCCAAATGTGAGACCCGAGCCCGGACCTGCCCTGCCCCCGGGCCCTGGGCCTAGGCTCGACCCGGACCAGAGAACCGGGCCGGTCCCGGTCCCGCATAGTAGCGGGCCGATCCACGGGCCGGGTGGCCCGCCCCGAGTCCAACACCATGTAGAATTCTGAAAAAGTTTAACCCAAAAAATCTTGCACGTAGAATTCTGAAAATGTTTAACCCAAATTTTGTTGTAGGGCCCCTACAGTAGGGGTGCCGTCCTACATCAATGATTCAATGGTGTCATTTTCATACTCCCTCCGTCCCTAACAGTGCAAAACAGTGCCAAACAGTGTCAAACAATGTCCAAACAGTGCCAAACAGTACCAATCAAACCCACTTTCTTAAAATGTGTGGAAAACGAATTGATAATTTTATATAGGGACGGAGGGAGTAATATTTTAAAAATAAGATATGACTTTTTCAATGAGTAGTAGTACATTCATGACATTTTTAGAATAAAATATGATACAGAGTGTTTAAAAAAAGGAAAGAAAAAGAAGAAAAGCAATTGCTCCACAATTGATTCCAATTAGGGATGGACCGGTTCCAGTCTGCCCGGCATGGGAACTGGACCGGCCCGCCACTGTGTGGCACCGGATCCGGGCCTAGGATCCAACCCGGGGGTGTTTTGGGGGCGGGCTCGGACTGCAGGTTTCTTTGGAACCGGTCCGGCCGGTCCATCCCTAATTTTTTGTAGAACACAAGCATTGTATTTTTTTAAAAAAGGAAATAGCCTCGAGGCATAAAATATTTAAAATGCAACATGAACTCATTAACATTTGAAAAGAGAATAGTATAACTTAGATATTGATGATCATGATCGTGAGAAGGGGATAAGGGGACTTTAAATCCCATTATGTATTTGAATAGGTGAAAAGTTAAAATCTGAATATAAAATTAAATTGATAAGAGAATTAAACGCTGAATTAAAAAATTGAACTGAGATGTGGGTATCATGCGATGATTTGGATGGAAAATAAAAAATGGATTCAAACCAAGAAAACAACTCGAAACAAGAATTAAACGCTGAAAAGTTTAAAGCGGTTGAAATTGAAGAGTCGATACAAAAATGATAACACATAGCGGATATAATGATATACTATCGTATTTGGAGTAAGCATCCTCAAACACAAGTAACCATCGTCAAATGAATTTAACACCGTTAACGGTAAAATCGAATGGTGAGATCACCAATATGAAAGATAGTTCATACGGGACACTATGATAGCACACAGTACTACACTTAAAAGTCTAACCATGACAACCCATGAGCATTTAATATTAAAACCGGCCTTTATAAGATAGGTTAAGATAAGATATATAGTGTGCAAGTGTATTATTCATTATACTACGTAATTTTAGTACGTGAGCCTATTAGCAAGTTGCATTTGTGCTCCTGTGATGCACACTAAGATTTGCAGCACTCAAAATGCAAAATTTGGAATTCTTTTCAAGATGTGGAGGAAGATATTTCAATGTCATGGTGAAAGCCTGGGGTTATGAGGTTATCCCAACCCCACATTTTGGTCCATCAGGATACTAGCGGTGAGCAATGTGTATTAGGATGTTTTTACTTAGACCGTAATTTGTTGGTCTGGTCTGGTCTGGTGTGGTCTGATCTGGTCTGGTCTGGTCTGGTCTGGTCTGGTCTGGTTTCTTTGTATTTTTATAACTATTCAAGTCTGGTGTGGTCTGGTCTGGTCTAGTCTGGGACGAATTACGGTCCAACTAAAAACATAAAATAAAACACCATTATTTGACTAGAGCTATACCTTGTGCATCACAAGTCACCCACGTTTTGCATTAGCTTTTAATTTGAAGTTGAAATTATATTCAATCACTTAGTTCCACTCTCGATCATCATTTTTGAAAAATTTAAAACTAATTCTACTTTATTTTTCTATCAAAAGTTGAGATTTACTCCGTATGAGGTCTCATTTGAAAGATCATGTAAAATAAAAAAATTTGATATAAATTTTATAAAAATCAGATCAAAAATAAAAAAATTATTAATATTTTTAAGAAAAGGAGAAATAAAAAATAACAAAGCCTACTTCAATTTGGGATGATATACCATGAGAACCGTGGGACGTTGCATGGTATACGAACTGATCATTTATCATTATTACGAATGATGATATTAGAGAAATAAGATTGGTCATTTTAAAAATTAAGAAAATTAGGTTGCATCATTGCATGGGCCTCCATCATAGATTCATAGCTACAATAGAGCTAAATGGATTGACTAAATCTAGCTAATTTTGTTTAAAAAAATAATGAATTTTTTCCTTTACCTCAATTCATTATTTCTTTCAATTTAAATCGATTTGTCCATTTGTTCTTTAGCTAACACAAATTAGTTTCTAAATTCGTCTGATTTATGGTAATTTGTAAAACATGTATTTTACCAACTCATTCAAATAGATGGTACGTAGAATAATGCTACAAACTCAATCATTTTATAAGTATCGATTAATATAGAAAAGAAAGCATACCTACATATGAGTATGTGACATAAGAACGTACTGCGTCATATATTTAATAACCCAAGTATTTAATACGGAGTACATGGTTTAAAGTTTTCATTTTATTCTCACTTTAATATTCCGATGTAGTTATTAGCTACCACCGGCCGACCGGGTACTACTTAGTGCCCGCCGCCGCCACCGTAACCTCCTCCATAGCCGCCGCCATATCCGTTCCCTCCGTGGCCACCACCGTCATTATTTGAACCAGCACCTGATCCTGCATATGATCCAGCTTCCGATCCCGCATTACCTCCTCCACCGGAGCTCGTAGAGCTCGAACTTGAGCTCGAACTTGATGATGAGCCGCCCGAACCCGAACCTGCACCGGACCCAGATCCGCCCAGCCCTATACCGATGCCAGTGCCAAGACCAATACCTATATTACCCAAGTCCAACCCTAAGCCCTGAGGCTTGACTTCTCCGTGGGAGTTATCGATATTGATATTTCGACTTTGGGACACCATAAAAAAAGTAGAAAAAACAAGTAAAGCAACAAGAGCGGAACCTTTTAAGTGCTCCATACATACACCAAATCCTACGTACGCAAGGTGATAGCGTTTTGCAATTTCCTCGTCTACTTAACGACTATTTATAGTGCTAGTTGAGGTTCTTTCTTTAAAAAAACATAATGTTACAATGGGAAATTTTAGTCATAGCTATTTCTAGGTAAGAAATTAAGAATACTAAGTACTCTCTAATTTCTGTATAACTTTAACTATCTACTCCCCGGTCCCAAAAAAACTTCACACTTTTCTTTTTGGGTAGGTCCAAAATAAACTTCAATTCACACTTCTATTTTTGGCAACTTTTATTATAAACTTACTTTCATATTCTTACTTTATTACCTACTTTACATCCACTTTCTCTCCTCCACTACACTTTATTTATCTACTTTTTTGGGGATTGAGAAAGTCAAAGCAAAAATTCCAGTTTCTTAAAAATCGTGAAGCCAAAGAATGAAGTTTTTTTTTGGGTTCGGAGGGAGTATATCAAAATCTTCTTAGGCTTTTGACTTGACATGCATGATAATTAAGATTTCAATATTGTCAATTAGAATTAGAATGGTTTTAAGTCAAACCAAATTATGGATGTTTTTAATTGGATTGACATTTTTCGGCCTGATCTGGCCTGATCTGATCAGGCATGGCATGATCTTGCTTGGTATGATATGTTCTGATTCGATTTGATCTGGTCTGGTATGGTCAGGACCGTCTAATGAATTCGGAGGCCCCAGTTTCAAATGTAAAATCGAGACCCCACATTAATATAAAAAAGTATCAAAAAAATTTCAATCCAAATACATATATTTAAATTAATTGAATACTCGTTAAATAATGTAATAAAAAATTTCTAAAATTGAATTAATATTTGATTTAAAGCAACACAACTCATTATTCAAGCAATTTGAGTAAAGAAAACTAAAACGACCAACGAAAAAAATGGTGAATCTATATTTTTCTTCCTCACTAACTGTGTTTTACTGATCGATCAGTATTAATATATGTAGTATAATATTACGGAGTATTATATAATACTAATAAAATTTTGAAATTTTGGGACCCCGTAAATTTGGGGGTCCTGTTCTGGATAACCTATTGAACCCCTAAAAAACGGCCCTAAAAAGTAGCCGTCCATATGAATTTGTCTTTGTATGAATTGAATAAATAAATAGCCCATATGTATTTAATTTATCCCTTTTATCAGTTTATACAATCCTAGATAGAACTTTGTATATAAGATTATACTTTGTGCAAAAAAAAAAAGATTATACTTTGTGCGATGAATAAATGAGTAACGGATATTGTAACTTGAATTTGGTATAAACACAATTTACTCTAGCACATGTACACATGCACAATTATATTGACCAGACACAAAGCTTAATTTAACTTTTTTTTTTAAATCGTGTTCTCAAAAATATATATAGCTGGACATATATTGTCTTGCATAAACTATCTTTATTTTCAGAGATCGAGTCGCGTCATATATATATATATATATATATATATATATATATATATATATATATATATATATATATATATATATATATATATATATATATATATATATATATATATATATATATATATATATCAAATGAGAACAACGCTTAACGTGAGAACGTGAGAACACCACATTTACCCCAATATGATGCACAATGAGACTCGTCCAATGCACATTTTCGTGTTTGGCATAGTATTTACCAAAATGCCATGCACCGTCATTATTTATATTGGCTTATTTGGAGCAAAGTCAAAATGTGCACCAGACGGACTCTATTGTGTATTACATTGGGTTAATTGTGAGTGTTCTCACGTTCTCACGTTAAGCACCGTTCTCATTGGAACCGCACCATATATATGTATATATATAGATATAGATATAGAAGATCATGTGAGAAGTCCTACCTAAGATGAGAAGTGAGAAGTAATCTCAGCCCTTGGATTTGCATCTAATCTTACAACGTAACAAACTTATAGACTGAATATAGAAACTTATAACCAATAAATCATAACTTATAAAGTTCTCCATCGTAATTACGGAAATGCCACTGCGTCAAAAAAATTTCTAGGTTTCTGGAGTCATTTTGACGCGGTGGCATTTTCGTAATTATTTTCGAGGGGGTCTATAAGTTATGATTTATTGGTTAAAAGTTTGTATTTTAAGCCTATAAGTTAGACTTCGCAGTTCTCAGGCTAAAGAGCACTTCTCACTTGATCCACTCCATATATATATATATATATATATATATATATATATATATATATATATATATGATAGATTCTATGGTACCCATAAGTACCATACTTTTGTCCACCTGGACCAACGAGAATGTTACAGTTGAATTATTTATCTAAATTAAAAATGATATATTGATGTGAAATAATCAAGTGAATGATAGATACGGTACCACATTTTTTAAATGGGCATCTGAGTTGTCACATATATATACCCATATGTTTAAAAGCACCAATAATCTGATTACTTGAGGATATGGATGAAATATGTGGGATGGAAGGAGATGATTAATATAATGATTGAAAATACTACTAGCTACCTACATATTTAATAATACCATTTTTTAATTTCTTTTTGCATGCATACATATACGGAGTATAACTTATTATTCCGTATTCAATTTGTCACGTGTTAATACACAACGGAAGCCAATATGACTGTTAGTGGAATAGTGGGGAGGCCACAAAGAGCAATTTTTTCTCACCACAATACTTTGCCGGCCATATATACGATCGACTCCAATAACGTTAAAGACTTTAATCAACGGTGTGTTCATTTAAAAAATGAGATACTCGACATGTCATTCATCATTTTTAATTTAGATTTAAATAATTCAACTACATCATTCTGATTGATACATATGGACAAAGTTACGACACCTTAACAGTAACATATAATCTACCTTAATTAATTTCCACATTCTTTATTTCGACTTCGTCTGACCAAACATTCTGTTCGACCAAACACATGTGATGATGTAACCTATTTTTTCCATTCATTTGGTTCAAAAGATTCACATCTATTGAGCATTATATATATATATATATATATATATATATATATATATATATATACACACAAATATTTCACATGTTTGCGATTACAATAGTATTACTCAGCGGATTTCGTTCCGATTACAAAGATTCCGTTCCGATTCCCCTATTCCGGTGTTTAAGCATTACTCAGCGGATTTCGTCATTGACGCGTCCCAAGGAGTATATGTAGGAAAATGTGTGTGACAATAGTATTTTGCTATTTTAAATTAACACAATGTGAGTACTTTTCAAATACATATCTTACATTCACATAAGTATTGAACCAATGAAGAGTGATAGATACCAGTCACACCACCCTAGAGTGGCAATCTCTAACCCAAAAATGTTGAGCAGCTTTTGCAAAAATTGTAAAGTATTTGAATGTAAATAGGAATGTCGGTGCTTCTACCGTGCACACCTTAATTTGGTGTATTTTGATACACATCCTTTTTAACCACTCAACATCCTCTTTAACCATTCATCCCATTAATTATATCTTAATCTTATGCCACCTAATATCTTCATTAACTAAACATAATAATTTGCCAGTTTTGCATTTGGATCCTTCACCGGCTTAGAAAAAAAAGGTTAAACTGAACAAAATCGTCAAAGGAGATTTATTTAAATAGAAATAAATAAATATTTAATTGTCAAAGTATGTGCAAAGTTTAAAAGTATTCTAAATAGGAATTATTATTGAAAAAATTCCACTTTTGGTCCCATGATTATTATACCACTTCCATATTTAGTCCCCTACTTTCAGATTGTCCACATTTAGTCCGTGATCATTATCCCATCACCACCCCTCGTCTTCCGGCCAAAATTCCGGCAAATTTAGTCCACTTCTCAGCCTCAGAATTAGTCATTGCATTAAATTTTGCATCAGGTTGGATTTTTCATATCAGTCTTGCATTAAATTTGGTTTTTCACACCTAAAATCTGCATTAAATTTGCCAGAATTTTGGCCAAAAGGACGAGGGGTGGTGAGGGGATAATGGTCACGGACTAAATGTGGACAATCTGAAAGTAAGGGACTAAATGTGGAATTGGTATAATAGTCATGGGACCAAAAGTGGATTTTTTTCAATTATTATTTGTAGTTGGACAGGAGTACAAAAGTACCCCTTGAAGCTTGACAAAACTTAATGCAGCCGAACATCGCTGTTGACCGCTGGCAGCCGGCGCTACACATTTGGCCGCCGTCTTCGTACATCTGGTCAGATCTAGGCGTCACCGATCTGACCACCGACATTGCACATCTTGCCATGAACCACCACCGTACATCTGACCAGATCTGGCCACGTCGGCCGCCGACGCTAAAGATCCCGCCTCTACCACTAAAGATTTGGCCTACACTGACGCCGACGTCGCGGATCCGGATCACCAGTATAGGGAACTAGTGGGAAATTGTTTATAGGTTTAAATATGATTTAAGTCCTTGCAAAATATTTTTTTTATGTTTTTCATCCTTGTATTATGCATTATTTGGTTTTTAGTATAGCACTAAAAAAAATCATCCCTATAAATTTTTGAGGAAAATATGATAGTTAAAAAAATAAACACTAATTACTCACATTTTTAAAATACATATTAAATTCCATTATTAGGTAGACTAAAAATAATTTTGCAGGGATACTATATTTGCAGAGACTAAAAAAATATTTAAACCTTATTTATATTAGGAAGGACAAATATGGTATAAAAGTCCTATTTAAAAAATAAAAGGCCTTTTTATTCAAATATTACTAAAAAGAATGAAAAAGACAAAAATGTGACCTGTTTTAATTTTTTCCAAAAAAGTGACTAAAAGTCATTTAATCCTATTATTTAATAATACATTTGTTATTTTAATAATATTTCTTTGAAGCCACCAACACCACTGACCCCACCTCCGTTGGCACTGCCGCCGGCGCCACCACCGCCTCCGCCACCGCCGTTGCTCCGATCACAGTGACTCCGGTCACAGTGACTCCGGTCACAGTGACTCCGGCCACAGTGACTCCGGTCACAGTGACTCCGGTCACAGTGACTCCGGCGTCACAGTGACTGCCTCACAGACCAGTGCATGTCCAACCAATCACAGTGACTACGCC